TGGGTAGTAGAAGAAATAAAAAATGAAATTAAAAAGTTTCTTGAAACTAATGACAATGAAAACACCACTTGCCAAAACCTCTGGGAAACAGCCAAAGCAGTAATCAGAGGTCAATTTATAGCAATAAGCCTTCTAGCTATTAGTATGTTTCTTGAGTTACCAGGTGACTGATTTAGAGTTTGGTTTTTGTTTTTATTTGGGCATCTATGGACTCATCAACAACCTGCATTATGCAGATGACACAATCTTTCTGGCTGAAAATGAAGTGGACTTGAGGCACTTGTGGCATAAGATCACAGACTACAGCCTTCAATATGGATTATATCTCAACATATAGAAAACACAAGTCCTCGCCACTGGGCCAATAACACCTAGATTGAAAGAGAAAAGATTTTCAGTAATTTAATCTTAACTTGGATCCACAATCAGCACCCTTAGTACCAGCAGTTAGGAGATGAAGAGCTATAATGTATATAGAACTTTAGGAAAATCTGCTGTCAGAGATCTCTCCGAAGAGCTATTGTATCAGTTTTTAGGGTAAGGTGTGCCTGCTTCAAGCCATAGTCTTTCCAATCACTCACTATGCATTTGAGAGCTGGACAATGAATAAGGATGACAGAAGAATTGATGCCTTTGAGTTGTGTTGGAGAAGAGTACTGAATCTTCATGGACTACCAAAAGATCAAATATGTCTTGGTGAAAACCAGAATACTCCTTAGAGGCAAGGATAGTGAAGCTTTGTCTCACATACTGTGGACATGTAATTAGAAGGGTGCAGTCTTTGGGGGAGACATCACACTTGGAAAGGTGGAGGATCAGTGAAGAAGAGGAAGACCCTCAGCAATATGTATTGGCCCGGTGTGCCAGAGATGATGGGAATGGCACATGATATGACAGGATTCAGATATGTTGTTCACAGGGTTGCTATGAGTCATACTCAACTCGATAGCACATAAGTACAACACATCAACATTGTCTTCAACAGAAAACCCACTTGGTGGTTTTTCTGTCATTACCAAGTTCCAAGGCCATTCAAAATAATTGATTTGTTGTGTAAAACTGTGCTTCAACTATTACCAATACACCCAGCCAAGTTTTCTCAAGCAACAATTTTAGCAATTATGATGCCTCTACACACTTGAGCTATAACCACCCTACCTAACATCAGCAATGTGCTCCCTTACCCTCCCAGCAAATTACACTAAACTAGAATTCTGTTCTAAGTGTCTTCTTAGGATTATTTCTACATTTATTGTCCTTGGTTAGGTTTCCCAAGAAGAAGATCTTGAGGAAAATGTTTACTAGCAAAGTGATTCGACATGAAAGTGGGAAAGTGAAAATTTGAGATATGAAAAAGTAGGCTGATAATGTAAGTTTTGTTGTTGTTGTTGTCATTATGTGACATAGAGCTAGAACCAACCCATGGTTGACTCTCTAGTGGATTTTCAGAGGCAGTAAATTGCACGTGAGGAGATTACCTATCTTTCTATCACTGAGCAGCTGGTGATTTTGAACCATGTGCCTTTGGGATTGCAACACAACCTTTCATCACTAGGCCACCAGAGCTCCCTATATAAGTCCTTGTAATAAGAGGGTAATAGGGGTAGGTATGGTGGAGTCAGTGAGATTGGGTCAGGATAGGGCAGGGTTAACTATTGTACAGAGGGTTACTATAAGCCGACGGCATATTAACAGCAACCAATAAATCATCACTAAAGTAATTGCCTTCAGAAGTGTCCTATTCCTTGTGCAAATTAGCTGGTATTTCTTTCCACCCTGTTACTAAGAGATTATTCTGGAACCATTAAAAGCTTATCCTATTTGTTCTTTTCAAGAGTATTCAAAGCTTACTCTTTATCTTAGAGGAAATAAAATTAGTTCTCAGAGTGATAGGTGTTCTCTGTACAAAGGTATCAGCTTGAACAGAGATTGAGAATGCCACAGGATTTACAAAACATGTTAACTTTGTGAAAGAAATCAACCCAAAATATGTTGTTGTTGTTGTTGTTGTTGTTGTTGTTGTTGTT